GTTCTGTTTCAGTCCTAGTTTAGATCTAGTTTAGACCTGGTTCAGTCCTGGTTTAGATCTGGTTCAGTCCTGGTTTATTCCAAGTTCAGTCCGGGTTCAGTCCGGGTTTAGACCTGGTTTAGTCCTCAGTTTAATCCTAGTTTAGACCTAGTTTAGTCCTCGGTTCAGTCCTCGGTTCAGTCCTGGTTTAGACCTAGTTTAGTCCTGGTTCTGGCTCTGGTCCCGCTCTGGTCCCAGACCTGGATCAGTCCTGGTTCAGCCGGCATCGCAGTCACTGAAGTCACGTAAACGGGAAACGGCCGATATCTGTTTTTATCCATTCTTCATTTAAACACAAAATCGAAAAAAAGAAAAAAACGCATCATTATCAATTTGTTCATTTTGGTTTTGGAGACAAATAATGATGAAAATAGTTGTTTATTTCATTTTCTTATCTTTGGTTTTATATTGAAAAACGAACGAAGGAAGGACACACGGATTCTGAAATTATCCGGATGATTCTAGTGAAGGTTTATGGAGTTTAAAAACACACTGGAGCACTTCCTGTTTCACCACATGACATCACAAGGTGGAACTCAGCCTAAATATATCGGGTTTGTGTGTTAAACATTTGTGAACGAAACAAAACTCAACTCCAGGTCTTTTTGTGACGAGTAAACAACATTAATTAACAACATAAATGAGAAAATACCAGGCTCTTCTTAAGTTCTGGAACATCCTCTTCAACTTCAGAACACTTGAAGTACACTCGAGGTACGTGAATATTTCTTACAGTAGTCACCCGTGTCAGAGTAAAGTAACCCAGCGGGTCCCCGGGGGCCCGACACTCATCAGCTCGTACTCTTATCAGTGTGTGTGTGCACTGACCAGCTGCAGGGTCTGCGGCCGAGCTCTGGGACGCTTCAGACGCAGATACCACCGACACGCTCTCCAGAGGTGCACCCCCGGACGCACCCCCGGAGGCAGGGGCGGCAGGGGCGGCAGGGGCGGCGGGCGGCGGCAGGAGCGGTGGCGGGAGCGGGGGCGGAGGGGGCAGGGGCCGGGGGCAGTCCTGGCTTCTTTGGAGCGACGACGACGCTTCTGTAAAGAGATAAAAGAAGATAAGTCAGATTACACGTTATCTTCAAATGTAATAGTGAGTTTATAAAAGCTTTAAAAGTCCTGTATTACACAAAAAAGATTCTTAGAAGCTTTTTATTATTATTATTAAACACAACAGGATATAACAGGGTTTGGTCAAGTGGTAACGGAGGGAAACGGGCAGATTTTTGACATTCAAATGTCTCTTATTCAGAAACTAGAGGAACTATTGAAATAAGTAAAGTATCAGAATGTAGGAAAGAGTTACACTCCAACAGGGTCAAGTTAAACCTGTGAGATTCTTTCAAGTTGTTGACAAAAAATTTAAGTCTGAGAGCGAGACTCTCGGGATTCCCGGCTCTCAGTCCCGATCTGTGTCCCGGTCTCAGTCCCGGGTCTCAGTCCCGGGTCTCAGTCCCGGGTCTCAGTCCCGGGTCTCAGTCCCGGGTCTCAGTCCCGGGTCTCAGTCCCGGTCTCAGTCCCAGTCTCAGTCCCGGGTCTCAGTCCCGGTCTGGTACCAGTCTCGGTCCCAGTCTCGGTCCCAGTCTCGGTCCCAGTCTCGGTCCCAGTCTCAGTCCCGGGTCTCAGTGCCAGTCTGGTACCAGTCTGGTCCTGCTTTCAGTCCCGGTCTGGTCCCAGTCTGGTCCCGGTCTCTCTGGTCCCACTCTGGTCCCGGGTCTCAGTCCCGGGTCTGGTCCCGGTCTGGTCCCAGTCTGGTCCCAGTTTGGTCCCAGTCTGGTCCCAGTCTCAGTCCCGGTCTGGTCCCGGTCTGGTCCCTGATCCTGAGACCTCTGCTCTACAGTCGACATTTAACCTCTTCTGGGTGTTTTCGGCAGCATTAACCACCGAGGTAAACACATGTACAGGTCCTCAGTGTGGAAAATACAAAGTACTATCGGATCGGTGTTTTGGTCTGAGCACTCGCCGATACGATACCTGAAAAATATGAGGTATCGGAGCTTTTGCCGATACCAGTACTCGTATCGGCACTACTCTACTCAAAATACTCTGTTCCAGTTTGTGGTGTCATGAAGCCGCTTCCTTTTACGTTTAGTTGAGTAGAGATCTGCAATTCCAGCTCTGAAATGATCCAAATGATTCTGGTGAAGGTAGAACAGAGTGTTTTGAGTTTGAGAGAAGAACTCAGAAGCGTAAATGTGCAGGATTTGTGGTCTGGGTCTGTTTGCGATGAGGAAATAACGTTCTAACAGGTCAGAAAATAAAATAATCTGGGCCGGTTTAAGTGAGTCCGTTCAGATCCACTGACAGCTGGACTGAACGTTTACACAGTGGTCATCGGGTCGGGACAGCGCCGCCTCTTTAGATGTCCCCCCCCCGCTGTAAAAGTAACAGGAAGTGCTCGGTGCCGGCGGGTTGAGTTCCCACCGGGCGCGCGGCAGCCGGAGCAGAGGCCCGGGTCTGATAAGCTGTCATCTCAAACCAGGGCTCTGACAGAACACTGGGCCTATCGCAGCCAGAAGGGCCCAGCTTATCGGCGCTGACACGACGGGAGCGGGACTCACCAACGCAAACCAAAGACGAGCATCAGGAGAAAAAAAAAAAGAAAGAAAGAAAGAAAGCGAAAAAGAAACAGGCCTCAATCATCCAGAGAAATTTTTGGTCCAATAAAGAGGCGCTCAAATAGTTGTGTGTATTTACCGTATTTTCCGCACTACAGGGTGTTGGGCAAGTGACTTTAAAACTGTAATGTGTTATTTATTTATGACTTGTTTCTGTCATTTCAAAGCAAACCAGGTCTAAACCAAGTCTAAACCAGGTCTAAACCAAGTCTAAACCAGGATTAAACCAGGTCTAAACCAAGTCTAAACCAGGTCTAAACCAGGTCTAAACCAGGTCTAAACCAGGTCTAAACCAAAAACCAGGTCTAAACCAGGTCTAAACCAAGGTCTAAACCAAGTCTAAACCAGGTCTAAACCAAGTCTAAACCAAGTCTAAACCAGGTCTAAACCAGGTCTAAACCAAGTCTAAACCAGGTCTAAAACCAGGTCTAAACCAGGTCTAAACCAAGTCTAAACCAGGTCTAAACCAGGTCTAAACCAGGTCTAAACCAAGGTCTAAACCAAGTCTAAACCAAACCAGGTCTAAACCAGGTCTAAACCAGGTCTAAACCAGGATTAAACAAGGTCTAAACCAGGTCTAAACCAGGTCTAAACCAGGACTAAACCAGTTCTAAACCAGGTCTAAACCAGGTCTAAACCAGGATTAAACCAGGACAAAACCAGGTCTAAACCAGGTCTAAACCAGGAAACCAGGATTAAACCAGGATTAAACCAGGACTAAACCAGGTCTAAACCAGAAATAAACCAGGACTAAACCAGGTCTAAACCAGGTCCCAGGTCTAAACCAGGTCTAAACCAGGTCTTAAACCAGGACTAAACCAGGTCTAAACCAGGACCAGGATAAACCAGAAATAAACCAGGACTAAACCAGGTCTAAGCCAGGACTAATCTTGGACTAGAACTTGGAATCTAGGACCGCTCTGAGTGTGATCGGGCGTCAGCTGCTCTTCTCCCCGTGGAGAGCGGGGGGGGGTCTTTCACCTGCGGTTACCTGACGTCTACACGGGCGCGACTCCGGCATTTCACCGCTGCTGCCATCACGGTGATTTTAGCAAATTTGTATGAAGAAAAACAAAAAACCCACAATTTTAATCCAAGTTAAAAAAACATTGTGACGCGCTTTACTCACATTTGTACCAAGTAAAATATTGCATTTTTTTCCCTGTACTGCCGTGATATTACTGCGTTACAACAAAAAGCAACTCATTACTTTTAACACTATTCACAATAACTCTAAACTTTGTTCAATTGTAACATGTAAATAAAAATACTGTGTTACTAAATTGTTCGTGTATTCACAATAAGTCATAATAGTTGAAACAGTTGGGTGATTCTTGCGTCCACACGTCCACATTCCTCTCGTCATTATCCGAGTCAGTGTGGTTACTGTTCCCTGGAGTTCAGTTCAGTGATGATTCTGGTCTTGGTGAAAGCTCGGACCACAGTTGATACTGATCTTTCATTCGGGCGTCCACGATCAGTCAGCAGATCGTGGCGTAAGTCGCTCGGCGCTGTTTCTCTGTCTTGGTGAATGTGTGTTCTCCTTCTCTCATCCACTGCTCCCACGCAGCTAAACGCACTTTCACTTCAGAACAGCCTTGAGTTTAAAGTGGGCGTTGTGAGCGTGTCTCTTGACAGGTGTATTTTAATATTAAAAGGAATCACAGTCTGTATTACTCCTGATGCTCCTGATTACAGGAGCCGTAACGCTGCAAGTGGAGCGGCTTTGTCGTTTACTAAAGTCGTACTAAGACACAGAAATAAATTCATATGAAAAGGCGTTCTGGATTATAAGGCGCAGAGTCACTCCCACGAATTCATCTGAGTACAGATCCGATCCTGAACTGTGTGGACTAGGAATGGGCATGATTAATCGATTAATCGATAATTGATCATTAAGAATTTAATCGATTACATTAATTTTAATCGACAAACCAAATGTAGGTTGCTGTGTGTATCGTGACCAAACAGGTGTGTACATGTGTCTCTGCATCAGAAGGAGCGAGACACAAACAGTGGGTCAGTCTGTAACGAACCGAAGCACAAATGCTTATTTAACGATGATTTGTACAAGAAATTCCACACTTTCCGTTGCGTTCGGGACAAGTGTGAGTCCATGTGCACAGTGTATAAAGCAGCACATATGTTTCTGTGTCCAGTGGGAAAAAGTTTTACCAGGTGAGAGTCGCTCAATGTGGATGACGAGGCCCCGCCCCCCTCCCCCCGTACGCTGTCCTGGTTTTGACAAACACAAATCTGGTCACACTAACCTGTATTCACCTGAGTCATGTCTTTTAATCCAACAGAAATTGAACCACATCAGCGACACAAGAGCTGGAGTTTTATCTTCGATTAGTTTATGCAAATTAGTGATGCGCTTTTAAGTTTTGTTTCTGTGAGAGTTGAACAAAACTGAATTAAACACATTATAATGTCAAACGGGCTGATGTGGCTCTAGAGTCGTTACGGTTTATATGTCGTAAAGTTGAATTTATTTATGCAGATTAGTGCAGATAGTAATAATAATGATGATCATTTTAATATAAAAACGTTAATGATTAATCGATAATCAATCGTTAATTCTTCTGACGATCGATTAAGAAAATTTCATCGAATGCCCATCACTAGTGTGGACGCCTAAAAACGTTGATACTCTGACGTAGGAGCTCTAGTTGTGTCCTTATTGGACCACGTCACTGTGACTTGCGCCGTCATGATTCGGTGGTTCATGACGTCGGTCATGTGACGCTATTGCAGAAAATAGTTTAAACGTAAACAGCAGAGCTACAACTACTTGCACAGAACAGACTCACCGTCAGCAGAACACCCCTCTGTCACAGAGAGAACACCCCTCTGTCACAGAGAGAACACCCCTCTGTCACAGAGAGAACACCCCTCTGTCACAGAGAGAACACCCCTCTGTCACAGAGAGAACACCCCTCTGTCGTCACAGAGAGAACACCCCTCTGTCACAGAGAGAAACACCCCTCTGTCACAGAGAGAACACCCCTCTGTCACAGAGAGAACTCTGTCAGAGAGAACACCCCTCTGACACAGAGACACTCACAGAGAGAACACCCCTCTGTCACAGAGAACACCCTCTGACAGAGAGACTCTGTCACAGAAGAACACCCCTCTGACAGAGAGAACACCCCTCTGTCACAGAGAGAACACCCCTCTGCACAGAAGAACACCCCTCTGTCACAGAGAGAGAACACCCCTCTGTCGCAGAGAGAACACCCCTCTGTCACAGAGAGAACACTCATATTCCACTGAGTCGTGTCCTTTAGTCCGACAGAAGCTGAACCACATCAGCAGCACAACAGTGACCTGTTTTTTTGAGGCTTAGTTTATGCAAATGAGTCATGTGGTTTTAAGTTTCGTTTCTGTAAAACAAACAAATATGCTCAAAGCTGTGTG